CGATTCAACCAAGTGAACAAATTGATACTATTAGTGAATGATGTATGTGGGTTGTGAATAATAGAAATTATTTTGTGGTTTTGTCAATGGCGGAAATTAGACTTGTAATTTTATTGTTGTTTGAATATTGGATGATAGTGAATGTTGTTGTTTTTACTTTATATATTTGTATTGCTCTAACGTATTTTGATTTTTCATGTAGCGTTACATAAACAAGTGTTCTATTGTAAGATAAAGTCCAATTTTTAATTTTTTTATTTTTTGCTATGTTGATTTTGAATTTATAGGCGTATTGGAAAAGAAGAAGAACATGTCTATTGGTAAAAGTTTACGTGCAAATCAATCCTGAAAAATCAATGTACTTTGTAAATACAACCTTGAAATTAGTAAAATTTATGCAAAATAACCATAAATCACACCTTAACCCACAAAATCTAGATCTTAACACATCAAAATAAACAAACAATGGTCCAATAAAATAGCAAATAAAAAGACCTTATACCAACAAATAGCAAATTAAGACCCCAAATATAGATTTTTATCTGATAGAACATCATACAAATCAACCGAGTACAAAACTAATTCTAACAATCTAAACCAACAAAGTATAATAGATGCAGATACTTCTTCCTTGAACAAAATTGTAAAAAAATAAAAATAAAAATTGTTGAATTTGAATTTTCTTGTCGATTATTGGGGTCTTTACGTCACGATCGTATGTTTATGTCTCAAACAAACAGGGCCTAAAGTGAGAGATTGGATTTGAAGAGATTGAAATTTCCCTTCGAGGTATTATTGATTTTACCCATTTTTTATTGTTTTTAATGCCTAAACTAGTGGATATAGACGGCAAAGGGTATTTTGTAATGTTTGGAGCGATTTAGGAGAATTTTGTACTAAAATGAAAGGTTGACGGTATTTCACAAAACAAAAAGACGTTAAGGGGGTGTTATACCAATTACCCAATTATAATTGTCCTAAACAACAGTTAAAAGTTAAAACTGGAGCTAACTGAAATAATTTCAGACATAGAGGACCAAAAAGAAAATATCATAAACCTGAAATTGTACCGTAGTTATAAAATACTTCTACAGTACTCTAGAAAAATTCCTATTGGTGGTTCCAGTTTAAAGGAAAACAGGAAATTATAGAAATCTCTGGAAGAAACGAGAAGCCAAAATTCCCAGTTATTGGACCAAAAAAAAAAAGGTAAGAATACGAAAAAGAAAAGAAAGTCAGAAAAAAATCTAATCTAACGGTTGAAATCCACGCCGAGAACATTCTAGACCAGCTTTCATATTCTTTAAAAACCTCTCCTTTTCCTTTCTTCTCGACATTGAAACGATACAGTCACCTAAAATTGTGAAAAATTCTTTTGGAATTTTCTGACTCTTGTTCGACTTGTACTATTTCTGTTTAACAAATCAATTTCTGTCTTGAATTTGCAATGGCTGGTAAGGGGGAAGGACCGGCGATTGGTATCGACTTGGGAACTACGTATTCTTGCGTGGGTGTGTGGCAACATGATCGTGTTGAGATCATAGCAAATGATCAGGGTAACCGTACGACTCCGTCCTATGTGGCCTTCACTGACACCGAGCGTCTCATCGGCGATGCAGCCAAGAACCAGGTTGCCATGAACCCGGTTAACACAGTTTTTGGTTAGTATTCGTGTCTTCTCTTTTGATTTTCGAAACTTTTATGCATGTATTTGGTTGCAATCCTGTTTATTTGACTGGACCTGATCGATCAAATTATGATAAACACGCATGGAAACAGGCTGACAAATGACACTTTGAAGTCGTGTGATTTTGTTTGCTGTATTCTATGCACCTTTGAATTATGATGTTGCTTAGTTTGGGAAACAGTAGTTTCGAAGCGGTAGTTTTTGGTTTTGTGGTTTAATTGGTGAATTTGTGATAGATATTTTATGTTTGGAAACACAAAATAATAAATGTTGATTTTGCTTTTGAGTTATATGGTTTTACGTTCGTCCACTGCAGAAGTTGTAAATTTGTTTGTTAACTCATCGCATTTTACGTTCATTTTCTGGATTTTCTTTATTGATTTTAGAATATTCTGATTCTGAATATAGATGCAAAGCGTTTGATTGGGAGAAGGTACAGTGATCCATCGGTTCAGAGTGACATGAAGCTTTGGCCGTTCAAAGTTATTCCTGGGCCGGGCGACAAGCCGATGATTGTGGTGACCTACAAAGGTGAAGAGAAACAGTTTGCTGCAGAGGAAATCTCCTCCATGGTTCTCATCAAGATGAAGGAGATAGCAGAGGCTTATCTTGGAACGACGATCAAGAATGCCGTTGTTACTGTCCCTGCCTACTTCAACGACTCTCAGCGTCAGGCCACTAAGGATGCTGGAGTAATTGCAGGGCTTAATGTGATGCGTATTATCAATGAGCCAACTGCTGCTGCCATTGCGTATGGCCTTGACAAGAAGGCGGGAAGTTCAGGCGAGAAAAATGTGCTTATCTTTGATCTAGGTGGTGGTACGTTTGATGTCTCTCTTCTTACTATTGAAGAGGGTATATTTGAAGTGAAGGCCACTGCTGGTGATACTCACCTCGGAGGAGAAGATTTTGATAACCGAATGGTGAATCACTTTGTTCAGGAGTTCAAGAGGAAGAACAAGAAGGACATAAGTGGAAATCCTAGATCTCTTAGGAGATTGAGAACTGCTTGCGAGAGGGCGAAAAGAACACTCTCCTCAACTGCTCAGACTACAATTGAAATTGATTCTTTGTACGAGGGTATTGATTTCTACACCACCATAACTCGTGCAAGATTTGAGGAGCTGAACATGGATTTGTTTAGAAAGTGTATGGAGCCAGTTGAGAAGTGTTTAAGGGATGCTAAGATGGATAAGAGCAGTGTTGACGATGTTGTCCTTGTTGGCGGCTCGACTAGGATTCCTAAGGTACAACAGTTGTTGCAGGATTTCTTTAACGGCAAGGAGCTCTGCAAGAGCATTAATCCAGACGAGGCTGTTGCTTATGGTGCTGCTGTACAAGCTGCAATTTTGAGTGGTGAAGGCAATGAGAAGGTGCAAGACCTTCTGCTCTTGGATGTTACACCTCTATCTCTCGGTTTGGAGACTGCTGGAGGTGTCATGACTGTACTCATTCCTAGGAATACCACTATTCCTACCAAGAAGGAGCAAGTGTTCTCTACCTATTCGGATAATCAGCCCGGTGTGTTGATCCAAGTGTTCGAGGGTGAAAGAGCAAGAACCAAAGACAACAATTTGCTCGGGAAATTTGAGCTCAGTGGCATACCACCAGCGCCTAGGGGCGTTCCTCAAATTACTGTTTGCTTTGACATTGATGCAAATGGCATCTTGAATGTTTCAGCTGAGGACAAGACAACTGGCCAGAAGAACAAGATAACCATCACCAATGACAAGGGAAGACTTTCAAAGGAAGAGATCGAAAAGATGGTCCAGGAAGCTGAAAAATACAAATCTGAGGATGAGGAACATAAAAAGAAGGTCGAAGCTAAAAATGCTTTGGAAAACTATGCTTACAACATGAGGAACACCATCAAAGACGATAAGATTGCATCGAAGCTTTCTGCAGCTGACAAGAAGAAGATCGAGGATTCCATTGAGTCTGCTATTCAATGGCTGGAAGGTAACCAGCTTGCAGAGGCAGATGAATTTGAAGACAAAATGAAAGAGTTGGAAAGCATATGCAACCCAATAATTGCAAAGATGTATTCTGGAGGTGCTGGTCCGGACATGGCTGGGGGCATGGATGAAGATGGCCCTTCTGCCGGTGGCAGTTCTGGTCCAGGCCCTAAGATTGAGGAAGTGGATTAAGCATAGAATCTTTAGGCCAAAGGAGATGCTTGGGGTATTCTTGGAAGTGTGTGTCATTGTGTTTTTTCTTCCAACTCTGTTCTCTGTTTGGAATTCTGTTACTGTTTTTGAAGTAATCTTTTGTGTCCCCGGAAGCTTGTCTATTGTACTATACCTCGACCGGTATAATTTCGAAGTTATCTTCTGGCTAGTTAATGTGAAAAAATAATTAGTAGTATTGTTTCAAATGTAATTTCGAAGTTATCTTCTGGCTGGTTTATGCGAAAATAGTAATCTTTTGGCTAGTTTCAATGTAATTTTGCTGTCTCTCATGGAAAGCACACAAGTTGGAGGTCATTCGCAAAACGAATTATAAACGAGGGAAAATGAAACTCTTTTGCGGTTAGTCATTTAGACTCTGCTAGCATTACACATTTTTTCAAGTGCGTGACCCATTTAGTAGCTATATTTACTTGGCGAGTTAATCAACAAAGTCCCTCTATGTCAAACATGTGCAGAAGTTTATTTTCAAATACAAATTTATATAATAAAATATTTTGTGCTTAAATTTAATTTTTTTTTATTTTTAGTCACACATTATCAAAAAATTTACTACTTCAAATTTTATTTTCCTAAAAAATTCTTTTAATGGACATTAATAAATATGGACTAAAAATCAATCAGGGTGCGTTTGATTGCAACCGTGAAATTTACATTAAAAGAAAATAAATTTTAGGTAATTTAATTGTTTAGAATATATTTGCGTGAAATTTGTCAATTAAATGTATATGATTGATTTAATTTCTAATTTAAAAAAATTATACTAATTCATTTTTTATTGGTAAGTAAATGAAAGAGAAAAAGAGATAGTGAATTTTCTGATAAATAAAATTCTCCTCTTCTTAAAAGAAAATAAATTTTTTTATTTTTAAAAAAATATGATGACGTGATGAAAAGTAAAAAAATATTTTTCATGAAAAAAAAAACAATTAAACAGCAAAAAAGTTAGAATTTTAGTGAAAAAATATTGACAATCTAGCTCTTAATTAAATCTTTTTAATTCATCAAGGACGTTTTTAACGAGAATCCATTACATCTGTGGTAAAATAAATAAATAAAATAATGAAGAAATAAGCTTATAAATATCTAAGACAAATATCCGATAATACTTTCACTGACAAGTTGTGAAGATCCCAGGGTTTGCTTTTTGTTGTTGACAAGTCAATCAGTCGGTCACCAATGAGACGGCTGGCGTTATTTCCATATTATCGTTGGGTAACGTAACTGAGTCTGCTTTTCACAGCCGACGCTTGTTTTCCACCGTTTCTTTAAACAGATTCCTTCAACTTACCGTCTGTGTGTCATGTGGAGCGGTTATCCCATAGGTACCCTTTATTCTCTTTCTTCATCTCATTCGCTAATACTGCTGAATCTATGCATATCCGCTTGATGAGGAGAGGGGTTTTATCACAGTTCTCAGCTGGCACAGATTTCGTGAATATTTCAGTGCATCTTGAAGCTTGGTAACTGATTAGTGAATTCAATTTTTATATTTTTGGTTTTCACTCTCTGTTTATTTATTTATTCGGTTTGATTATGCTTCAGATCGGTTATTGATTTTGGTGGGATTGGATTTTGTTTATGATTTGTTCATGGGTTTGAGGGTTGGTCATGGTGTAGTGGGAATGTAATTTCTATCCAAGCAAAAACGAAAGGATGCCTACAAAAGAGCAAATGGGTGAAAATTTTCTTACAACCTTATCCATGGAAAGCAATCATTTGTCCACTCTCTTGTCTATGGACTCAAGTTCATTGACTCACGATGAAATAGAGAGAGAGTTGAATCTGGCGGTTAATCTTTTGCAGCCACCGCCTGATATCAATCTCCCGCTTTCAGCTGAGCCAAGCCCGTTGCCCCAGAATTCTTGGAATGATGCTTGTGAAATGCTAGAGGTCAGTCTTGGACCCCAGCATTATGAGGTTGAGATGAATACTAATAGTGTCCCCAAGGGTGGGAAGAAATGTGCAAATGCAAAGCGCCTTGATAGTGTTTGGGGTGCTTGGTTTTTCTTCAATTTCTATTTTAGACCTGTTTTGAATGAAAAGTCCAGGGGAAAACTTGCTCGTGAGTGTAATGGGGTTTGCAGTGGGTATGATAAGTCAGATTTGAAGCTGGATGTTTTCTTGGTTCAACATGATATGGAGAATATTTACATGTGGGTTTTTAAGGAGAGGCCAGAAAATGCATTGGGGAAGATGCAGTTGAGAAGCTATATGAATGGGCATTCACGCCAAGGGGAGAGACCATTTCCATTTAGTGTGGAAAAGGGTTTCGTTAGATCCCACAAAATGCAGAGAAAACAGTACAGGGGTCTTTCTAACCCCCAATGTGTCCATGGCATTGAAATTGTTCCATCTCCTAATCTTATGGGACTTGATGAGGATGAGCGCAAGAAATGGATGAAACTTACAGGCAGAGATGTGAACTTCTCAATCCCTGTTGAAGCCAGTGATTTTGGCTCATGGAGGAATCTTCTTAATACAGAATTTGACCTTGAAAGGCCTTTGCAGTTGAAAGATAATTTAAATCCCCACCTGAAAAAATTGCTCAATGGCTCTGGTTTAAATTTGTCAACTCATGCACCCAACCACGTAACTACTGAAAGAATGGACCCTCTGAGAGTGTGCAGTAAGAGTAAGAAAAGTTTCTCCCAGCGAGGAAATGATGATGATTGCTGTTTGCCTAATGATTCCCACTCCGACAAAGTTTTGGACATCCATGTGATTGAGCCTCCTTGGTTAAGTGAGTTTTCTGGAGTTATGAGGAGCGCATATGGGCCAGTAACTGCAGCAAAAACTATCTATGAGGATGATGAGGGATTTTTGATTGTTGTCAGCATGCCTTTCGCAGATCTTCAAAGGGTGAAAGTTACATGGAGGAACACCCTCGCGCATGGGATTGTTAAGATATCTTGTGTGAGCATTGGGTGCATGCCAATAATTAAGAGGCAAGACAGGACATTTAGGCTAACAGATCCAGCCCCTGAGCACTGCCCTCAAGGAGAGTTTATCAGAGAAATTTCTCTTCCAACACGTATTCCTGTAGACGCCAAATTAGAAGCATACGGTGACTCAACTGGGACTATGCTTGAGATTCTTGTGCCCAAACATCGTGTTGGACCAGAAGAGCATGAAGTTCGTGTGTGCCTTCGCCCATCTCCTTGGAGTGAACGGACGTATGTTGATTTAACTGAAGCATTGGTTTAAAAAGGAAAGGATAGTCAAAACTTGCTCTCATCTTCTGCTGGCATCATTCTATTGACAATTTACAAAGTTTCTTTTTATTAAATATATTTCAGGTCATCCTTTTTCCATGCATTTAATGTTTAGGAACTGGAATTTTATGCTTATCATTTTCTTTCTATTAATCAGTACTGAATTGTTATGGCCTTGCAATAAATGGGAAGCATCAGCAAAACTTATTTATATATTGCTTGGTTTAGTTTTTACATGAATTTTCAATGCCAACCTTAGTCTTCATAGATATACGTATACTTTTTGTTCCAATCTTGCTCAAGTGATGACTTTCCATTCCATATCATATGCTCATTGACAATGTAATTAAATATTTTGAAAGTGGTGAAGAAAATGGAGGGAAACAAGCTGAAGGGAAGTGTCCTAGGCTTGGGATGCATTGCGTCTACTTAATGCCCAAAATCATTTATTTCCATTGCTTATGTTTCGTAATTGATTTCTAACAATTGTATCATCTGGCTCAGGAAAAAAAAGGAGAAAAACAGAAACTTGCTCTCCCCATTTTACCTTTTTTTCTAAACAAAAACTATTATTATTATTATTATTATTATTATTATTATTATTATTATTATTATTATTATTATTATTATTATTTATTATTATTATTATTATTATTATTATTTTCCTTCTTTATATCCCAAGTTTAATGGTCCCATGACATGTTATATGCCTTGTATTTTTATTTATTTATTTATTTATTTTTCAATCAGTATATTGTATGCAGTTATTTAGCAAAGATCGACCCGAATTGTTAACTATGTTTCTTTTTCCTTCATCGTGATGTTTATGATGCAGTTGACTGTAAATATCTAAAGGTTCTTATTTGTTTAATTTTGTCAATATTTTGAATCACGCATGTAACTAAGGGGTTTAGTATTTGGTAGTGTTTGAACTATAATATTTCCTTGTCCTCTTACTAGGCACCAATGTTGACTTTGGGCAACAAAATTCTTAATGCTACTAGAAAATTATGATGGAGAGATGCTTTCAATTTTGCAAACCATATCTAGCCTCCACAACCTTGTTTGAGTACGCTGACTGATTTGTGTAGTTTGCAGAGTATTCAGTCTCTTCCATGTATGATATTTGGTGGTTGCCCATAAATTTCCTTTGATTCTCTAAATCCACTTGCACCCAACTTTATTCTCAAGTTTAATGGTCCCATGACATGTTATATGCCTTGTATTTTTATTTATTTATTTATTTATTTTTCAATCAGTATATTGTATGCAGTTATTTAGCAAAGATCGACCCGAATTGTTAACTATGTTTCTTTTTCCTTCATCGTGATGTTTATGATGCAGTTGACTGTAAATATCTAAAGGTTCTTATTTGTTTAATTTTGTCAATATTTTGAATCACGCATGTAACTAAGGGGTTTAGTATTTGGTAGTGTTTGAACTATAATATTTCCTTGTCCTCTTACTAGGCACCAATGTTGACTTTGGGCAACAAAATTCTTAATGCTACTAGAAAATTATGATGGAGAGATGCTTTCAATTTTGCAAACCATATCTAGCCTCCACAACCTTGTTTGAGTACGCTGACTGATTTGTGTAGTTTGCAGAGTATTCAGTCTCTTCCATGTATGATATTTGGTGGTTGCCCATAAATTTCCTTTGATTCTCTAAATCCACTTGCACCCAACTTTATTCTGTCTTGCTGGTTGTTCAACGAGACCATCTGACCATGTTTGTTTCTATATAGAGAATTATATACATATTCTGCAGCAGTTTTCCTGTAGAGGTACTCAAATTGGATCCGATAAGGGGCTTTGGTTTTTTCATAAAAGTGCAGCCGTAGTGTTCAGAATATATATATATATGTTTTTTTTTATTTGGAATAAAAAAGTATAAAACGAAAAGGGAAAAACCACAATCTACAAACCACTTGTTTAGTGCACGCACAATGTCCTTTGCTTATCACCCTGTGAAAAAATGAAAATAAAAATGAATTTTAGGCATACACTTCTGTTCAAGTAAATGTAATTATCCAAATTTGTTGGATTTAATGAAAATCAAGTGTAGTACAATTGCAATGATTTTCTCTTCTCAACTTATGAACTTTGAGCTAAGAGAGGCCAAATGGCTGCTAAGTGCTAACATCAAACAACTGCTCCTCATAATTCAAAAATTTCATGATTGAATATATCATCTCATGAAAGAAAATATCTGTGGGGCTTGGAATATAATGCATTGCAGCAAAAACCCACTATAGTGGCCCCAAAGAAGGAAAACGAATGAAAGTGAAACATCAAAAATGAATTCAGCTCAATCGGGCAAGACCCCTCTGTTTGAAGACATCAAGCATTGCAGTTCCAATCTTTGCAGGCGACTCGACCACTGTTACCCCAGCTTCTCTGAGGGTCTTTATTTTATCTTGTGCTGTACCCTTCCCTCCGGATACAATTGCTGAAAATTCAACCAGTAGATAACAAAACGCACTTTTAGTTGGTAAATATTGAAGAAATACATTTTCATAAACGGAATGCTGATAGTTTCAGGTAAATATTGTAGAGATGTTAATAGATAAATATAGCAATATTTAAACCACAAAATTTTCATGCAAAACAGAATAAGCTTCCTTTCTTTCATGTTAATGGTGAATTCATGACATTGGAACTGTGCTTCAAGACGCTTAATGACAGGTGCTCAATCTTTCAAAAAACATAACAAATTATATGTAAAACTCGGATTCCAATGTAGTTCCATGTACTATCTGAAAAACAAAAATAAAATTGCAAGAAGAGCAAGTTATCTTCTCCCCTCATTTTTAATTATAGGCTAGAATATCCGAGGAGTTTCACTTCGGAGAACTTATTGTGTCAATATAGATCAATCCACTAAAAACCATCATTCTGACTTTGAATTGTCCAGGAGTAACTATAATGTTGTTTATCGAGTTGATTGATCAAGAAACAAAGAGACCACATGTATAAACAATCAATCCCACTAACTTTCAAAGAAAATACTCACACTTTACAATTAGACGGCATTTGAAGTTGACGTAATCAATCAAAAATCGATACAAAGTGAAAGGTAGCTAGGCTCCACACGATTATATAACAAAAATCAAGCACTTCCTCCTAGTGCTTTCAGTTGAAATGAAAATATGTAAGACAAAATAGACTGCGAGCAAAGGGAAAAAAAATATTGATAAGGTGCTGAAAGATGGAATTTTTTGCACGACGACCTTCTATAAAATAAATATTACCAGAATTATCAATTAACTTACCCAAGACATGTCTAAAGAGGAAAGAAAGGCAATTAGTCATTTTTTATTGGTAATTATTGGTTCATGGGAAATGGGATGAAACAAGATAATAGAAGTACAAGCATGAAATTCAATATATTTGATCGCAATGTAGTACCTCCTGCATGACCCATCCGTCGACCTGGTGGAGCTGTAAGTCCAGCAATGAAAGCTACAATGGGCTTTTCGGTACCACTTTCCTGTTTCAGTTTTAAAAATTAGAGAAGGTAAAACACAAGTTCCAACATGTGAAAGCTGCAAGATATCGATATTTAATGATAATTAGATGTTCAGAAACTCTAAAAATCCAAAAAGTGGAGAAGCTAAGCAGAAAGATATTCAAAGAATTCTACATGAAATATCTGCCAAAGGTACTGAATAGTCATTAATTAATAATAATTAATGAACTCAACAATGTATTATTACAACTATTGGATTCACCTACTGACATATCCTCTACTACGAATCGAGAATTTCACTTATCATCTTTTAATAAGGCACGGAATAATAGAGATAAATTCACGGAGAGACTGTATGTGGGTATGCCTGAGTACACATAAACAGATTGTTTCATTGAAATTGCTGACCAATGATGTGAAGTCTATCTAATAACCATGACTGGTCATTCCAAGAAGAGTTGATAACACCTTCAGAACAGATGTACATCTTCACAGCAATATGAGAGAAAAGGGTGAGTACAAGCTTCCTAATTTAGCTCTCAAGCTTCCTAATTTGGTCTAAACTCTAGATAATGCAGAAGAATCAAATCACTTTATCATAGGCCTCCGAGGCATATGTCAAGCAGTAATTTTATATGAATGGCAGGAGTAGTGGTATATTGCATTCTCAAAGAAATGATACGCTTTTGTTGCCAAAATCCTACTTATCTATCAATAATATTACTTTTCCAAGTCTCCAGACAGCTAGATCCACCTCTGATCTTCTTCAAACTAAGAGGTCAAAAGGTAAGGAAAATGATTACAAGCTTAGTCTAAATAGTTACCGCCATAATATTTTCTGTCTCCCTTTCTGTTATCAGGAAAAAAAAATGGATAGAATATAACTAAAACCATCACCAGGATCTGAAAGAGAAAAGTGAATCTAAAAATGAATGTTGCCCTCAATTCTCTAACTGAGAAAATTATTGAAAAGCAGAAGATAATGATTTAGTCTCAAGTATGAAATTACAAATTGATAATCACAAAGATGAAGCCTTATACAACACTTGGAACCAACAAGTTTTACTATAAACACAGCCATCGTACAGAATACATACGCTTTTCTACATTTGTAGTCATCTAGATGTTTGCAAATTAATTATTATATGCATATAAAAATATAGTACGAGTTATATTCCTAATATGTATGTATGCTATGTGCGTGTCCTGATGCCTGCATGTACATATATGTATGTTAACTTTGGATCATAATTTTATTATTATTTTTCTTTTTTATAACCGTGGGTGTCCGAGCCAGCTTACATACACCTCGACTAATCCCATGAGGTCTTAAAATTTACAGTCGAGTACTCACCTCAATGGCCCTAAAGGGACTTAAACTCGTGACTATTGAGGAGCAAACTCAAGTCCTGACCACTGAGTTACCCCTCAGGGTTATAATTTCATTCTTAACGCAACACAAAATGTGAATGGTAAATCCACTTTGTACGAGTATTTAGTATAGACATTAGATTACTATAGACTCCGAAGTCAAAACCTAGAACCAACATTTATCCCATAAAAGGGAAAGGAAAATAGCCATGCAAGAACTTAGAGTAGTTTGCTCAATCAGGTACATTTTCTGAGAATAATGCTCTTTAGGTTATTCTTGTATCATGCGACTTGTTGAAAGAGTTTTGTCCTCACCTTTATAAGGGATGCAGCATCTTCTTCTGCTGTACCACCTATCTCACCAATAAGAACAATACCTGAGATACAAAAGGCAAATTGGAAGTGTCACTCGAAAGGAATGGGACAATTGCAACACACTATAGACAACGCTAACCAAAAGCCTCTGATAAACTATTCATCAATAAGTAAAAGGCACAGCGTCATTTGGAGCAAGCGGGCTCTACTTGAGAAAGTTTATTGGTCACGAAAATTTGATCAGCCTACCTCAGAATGGGAGCCAAAAGTGAGTATTCAAGAAGCAAAAGACTTGTCAATACTCACAGTTGATCAGTTTTTTGAAACTTAATAGTTTACAGAGAACAGACTGAATGAGTTATCCATAATGACGGGACAAGCAAAATATTTAGAAGCTTAGTGGCTTGGCGTGGAAGATGAAGAAAACAGATGTAGAAAAAAAAAAAAAATCAAAGGAACAAGCAACAAGAAAAGAAATGCCCTCATAAAGAACTAATGTAGAAAAGAGAAGCTAAAAAGCCAAAAAGCGTCAAAGCCTTAAGGGCTATCTTGTGCATTTCATGAACGGCCCTATGCCACAATATTGCAAATATTTTCATTATTTCATCCAATATTTTTCAATCTAGAATGCAAATGTCTATGGAGAACTTATATATGACCATGCTTTTAACCACTCAGGGTCTATTTGATTGCAAGAATGAAATTTGGGTGGAAAGAAAATGAATTTCTTGGAATTGAATTGCCTAGAACTTGTTTTACAAGAAATTGTCAATTAAAATTTTCCACCTGGAAAATATTGAAATTTTGGATCTTTTGATATTCATTTGACTTTGTTTTCCATTAAAATTGTGATAAATTTTGTTACAATTGGAGATAAAATTTGTTTCAATTGAAAAAAAAAAAAAAAAAGAAAAAGAAAATCATCTATTTTTTTATATTCGTTTGACTTTGTTTTACATGAAAATTGTCAATTAAAAAGAAATATTTTTTTACAATAATTAAAAAGGACCTGGAGAACCAAAAACCACCAAACCCATGGGAAAACCAATTTCTCAAAAAGGTGGAAAAAGGGGTCACGTGACCAATTGCCAATAAAACCAATGGCCAAGAAAATTTGGCCAATCAAACATGCAAAAAGGTGGAAAATAGAATTCAATTTCCTACTTCCATGGAAAATTTATGCAATCAAACAAGACCTTAGATGAATTGATGGCACTTCACAAGCACAAGGGAATACGACAATATTTAATCAATTCAAACAGAATGCTTTTTCAACACAAAAAAAGTCACTCTAGCAAATATCTTATGTAACTATTGTGACAGAATTTAATTTGGCAGACTTTTTACCTTCAGTCTGAGGATCGGCAAGGAACTTTTCTATGCAATCAACAAAATTTGTTCCATTGAAAGGGTCCCCACCAATTCCGACACATGTTGACTGTCCAAGACCGACAACAGTAGTTTGAAAAACCTAGCAAATATATACTATACAAAGTCATTGACACAGTTTCAAGAAGGGTATTGTGCAAAAACAAAACGAACCTCATCACAAAACTTTTAAGTGCATATACAAAAATAGAGCAAAATATACTACCGCCAAACGAGCATAAAGTTCTACTGTCCTAGTGGTTATAAACAAGTTTTACTTACTTTTAAGGCCAGACAAACAAGCTCCCTACTAGAGCTTAAGGGTTTCCAGCCAATTTTTAAGACCCTTCCAACCTTTACATAAGAAAAGATACAAAATCTTAATAATTATTGGGGTGATTGATATATTTACAAGACTCAGCAGGCAGAGGGACAAATTGACAAGATATAATCTTTTCGACTTGTGGAATTTTTAAGTGTTGAAAAAGTCCACTGAATTCAACAGTATAAAGGCACCATATAGATACAGATATACAAGTCGTAGGAAGTCAATTTTGTTCACAGCCAATCATAGCTTGAAGAAGCTTTAATCATAAAATAAAATATAGGCCTCCAAAATTTCAGACAAAATAAAATCCCAATGAAAAATGATCTCACCGCTTCATAAGTCAGTGTGCCAGATCGTGAGACAATTCCAATACGTCCCGGTTTGTGAATGTATCCAGGCATAATTCCAATCTTACACTCCCCAGGCTTGATAATCCCAGGACAATTTGGACCTATGAGACGAGTTTTTGACTGCTTGTTAAGAGCAGCCTTCACACGAACCTGCATTTTAAAAAATAGAACACCGTGAGAGCAAGAAGGATATAAACACATGAGCCACATCCCTGAATTATTAATGATACCCATATCAACATAAACTTTGGCAAAAGCCAAAAGGAAGATATAAGCCCATGTGATATCCACATGCCTCATTTATTAGTGATTTGGATGAGTTACAGCTAAATTATGTATTAATTATGTTTGTTAGGTTGAACTCAATGCTTCTTATTGCACATATACAAGTAAAATTTAAGTCAAGTCACAAACCAGCACAATACAATAGGAGTAGAAAACAAATCCAGTTGCCAAGACCTTAAGGGCACATTTGAAGATTGTAACAGATAAGAAAGCAAGTAAAAGTATTAGAGCACTTATACAGAATGTGGATTAACATATTATCTATGAAACATTTTTTTTTTTTTAATTTGCTGTATCATTGAAATATCCGTGGTAACCAAATCTCGATATTGTGGTTAGCTCCAGATCATCCATTCTATTTCTCTTTGTTGAAGAGTGAAATGGAAGGAGATTAACTAAAACAATGTTTGTTACCATGTCATGCTGAGGGATTCCCTCAGTGATGCAAACAGCCAAATCTAGCTCAGCCGCCATTGCCTCCATAATAGCTTTAGCCGCAAAAGGGGGAGGAACATAAATTGCTGTTGCATTAGCCTTTGTTTCAGCTTTTGCCTCTGCTACAGAGTTGAAAACAGGAAGTCCCAAGTGTTCTGTTCCACCCTTTCCAGGGGTAACCCCTCCAACCTACATTAGCAGACACAAATTTCGAGAGGGGAGAGAATGGGGAAGAAACCCATTTGGTTTAAGGAAAAAAAAACGCATTAGCATAAAAAATCTTCATTTTCCTTGGGGGAGAGAAGAAAGGCTCCACATTTATAGAATTCTTCCCTTACACTTACTGAATTCCATCTCATTGGTCGTGCTTTCTCTGCTTTTAGGCCCATTTTCTACTGCATGTTTAATCTCATGAGAGTTTTAATAGCTGAAAAGATGTTCAAATGTCTCAAGATAAGTAATACTCATGTAAGGGAGAATTTTAATTAACGAGAAAGTATGGGATGAAATTTGGGTCTGGCATCCATGTTTCTCAAAAAATAAGTTCATTTTTTTAATACACACATTGATGCACACGGACACCGGAAGCAGTGCTTCAGTACTTCTACCTTATTATAGGCTTTAAAAAACCGTCTAAGTTATATATGAGGCGAGTGACCCCACTCTCATGCATCCTATCCTATGTGGGCAAATATAGTATAATGCGTAAAGTGACAATTTTTCCACTGGTACAAGCACTGCATCGCATTTTACCACAGACTATTTTCACTACCTACAGAGTCAAAATTTGTACCTTGGTAAGAAATTACGAATTTCTCGGCGAATTCGAATTCACAGACAACATCAGAACCCAAAATCATTAACAAAACACACATAAAAACGAGTTACAAACTCGCATCACTAGCAAAAAAAGGGAAATAGTTATGGACGAACAATGTGAGGAGAAGTGACATGAAATACCATTTTGGTGCCGTATTCGATTGCCTGTTCTGTGTGGAAAGTGCCATTCTTGCCGGTGATGCCTTGGCAGATGACCCTGGTGTTTTTGTCCACGAATACAGCAGGCGGAGGTGGAGGCGATCCAAAATTACCGTACTGCTGTAGCTGCTTCGGGTAAAACAGCCGCGATGATACGATGCACATCAGTCTCATCGATCTCCGAGCCATCGATTCTTGCCTCTTCCGTTTACAGTCTGTCCAGAGTCCGATAAATCTATAATATTTGGGCTGAAGGACAACAACCGGTAAAGGGTGACTCGGGGAGAAGGGCGGATACGAGCGGGGGAATTTCCAGCGTCTCTTTCCTAAATTCCTCAGGGGTCCCCAACCTTTCGTGTGTATGGCAAACATTACCCCTACCTTCCAGTTATAGCACCCATCTCCCTAACCATTCAACACGGTGATATAGTATCCCACATGATGAAAGTCTATTTTTACATCCAATATTGCACGGGATGCATAATGAAAGGATAAAATTTTGCAATACATTGGATTAAACAAATTAGTTATTATATATACATTGAGCGATTAACGCTTACTCATTAAAGAAACGATGGTATATTTAAAAACGATTATTGATTTTCAACTAATTTTACTTATCAAATATGTTGATCATTATTCTTAAGTTGATATTGAATATCGTTTAGATCATTCTTACACTATTTTAGTAACTCAAAGTGGAAAATTCGTAGACATTTTTTTACCTTCAATCAATTAACTAATTTTGATTTACAAATAAATATATTAGCAGTTACTTCTGATCATAGTCAAATTAAATTATAGTTAATTATCTATAATAATAATAATAATAATATAGGGAAAATTGCAGTCGAGATACCAAATCTTTCGTTTATTAGCAGACTTTACCCAAACCATTAGTTTGTGCCATTGGAGGTACCAAACCTTTCAAAAATTCGCACCCGAAGTCAAAATGGATGGAAATCGTCCGTTTGACCGTTAGTTGACCAATAAAATTAAACATTGACCAATTTTTGACTAATTGAAAAGGATAAAAAGTAAAAGTTATTTAACCCTATAATAAAACAATTAAAATAAATAACTAAAACAAAAAAACAAAAAAATACTATTCATCTCCTTCTTCACCCACTCCACTCACCCACCCTACCCCCACCCCATCCAAACCATATTGTAAAGTGTAAAATGTAAAATATTATCTTCCTCCTTCTAATACACGAGTGAGTGCTTGTGAGTGAGAGAAAATAGAGATCAAAAGGATGGCAGAATTTGCTCCATTCCATTTCTAATCCAACCCACCCTCTGCACATCATTTCTACCTATACCA